TAGCTCGCTAGCAGCCTCGCACCGAGGACCTATCCACGTCATCATTTACCCAGAATGCTTTGTGTGTGAATAAAATGGCCCCGTCCGTGTAATATATTTTTAAACTTTTAGTTTAAAAATTATAAAAACTAAACATCCTACAGTATTTTTACAGTCTTTATTTTACAGTTAAAATAAATGTTTATTAAATAAAGTCTAATGTTACAACTAATCGGGGATCCCTTTAACAGCACAACTCTGGACCAGCTCACCTGTCAGTCATTGCAATCTGCTCTAACATGGCAGAACCGGTGTTTGCCTTCCAGTTGCCAGAAATGGAAGTTCTCCTGAAGCCCAAAAGGAGAAGCTCATGAGGCGTTTACAAGGAAAGTGACAAAAAAGTGATTGATGGATGACATCATACCATACGTTCCAGCTAATAAAATAAATGTTAAGCCTCTTTATTCAACTTTCACCAGTGGTTGTAAAACTTAACACGGTCAGACTCAAACGTCCTACATGTAGGCCTTGTAGTTGCTGCCGATCTTCTGGATGCGGATGTCGTATTTGGACTGGACGTAGGGTTCGGTGGTGGCGTACGTCCCGGCCAGAGCCACCACGCTGGTGATGTCCTGGAAGTCCTGCTGGTTCTCCACTTTAATCTGCAGGAGAGGACGCCGCTTGTTAGCCAGCTGCTAATTATACAGCAGAAAACACCGGTGGCGAGGCTGACGGCGGCCACCTCCAGTCCCACAGGAGTCTGACACTGGTCCACAGGCTGGTAATGAAGGGTCACTGGGTGGACCCGGTGCCGGGGTCCGCTTTGAACTGCGTCACCGCCGAGTTATTAGACTGCAGACTGTAAACACAGACTGTAGCTGCAGCTAATCAACACGTCTGTGATTTAAACCTGAGAACTTCTTAATAAACCTGATTTATTCCTGTTTTCAATGAATGTCGGAGCTAAAACTGTAATTATAAAAACACATCAATAATTTAGCTGCTTTACTGTCAGAGAGGAAACCTTACATCACTTTTAGCTAGACATTTCTGCATTTAGCTTACAGCTAGCCTCTTGCTACATTTAACTATTAGCACCTATTTAAATTAATTTAGCTTTTAGTTTGTTTTCATTGCTTTAGCTTACGTTTTCGATTTGCTTTGATTTGTTTAGCTTTTAGCTAGTCTTTTACTACATTTAACATTTAGCTGCTGTTTAAATTCATTTAACTGTTAGTTTGTTTTCATTGCTTTAGCTAACTGCTTTGATTCTCTTATCTACATATTTAGCTTTTAGCTTGTTTTTATTCTTTATGTTTTGGCTAGTATTTTATTATATTTAGGTCTTACCCACTGCTGAAGCAACTGATTCTTTTAGCTCTTAACTAAAAAAGCTAAACACCTTACTTAGTGTTTTGCTTCTTGTAGCTCTTAGCTAATGTCTAGCTTCAGATTGCCTTTTTTTTTACTACCTTTGGCTTTCTATTAGCTGCTGTTGATTGTTTTAGCTTTTAGGTATGGCTTTGATTCATTCAGATTTTAGCTGTTTTTTAATTCTTTTAGCTTCGGCTAGTCTTTTGCAAAATGTAACAATTAAGTACTGTTTTGATTCTATTAGCTCGTAGCTAGTGTTTAGATTTTATTAGCACTTAGCTAGTGCTTAGATTATTTTAGCTCGTAGCTAGTGTTTAGATTCTATTAGCTCAAGCTAGTGTTCAGATTCTTTTAGCTCATAGCTAGTGCTTAGATTCTTTTAGCTCATAGCTAGTGTTTAGATTCTTTCAGCTCATAGCTAGTGCTTAGATTCCATTAGCTCTTAGCCAGTGTTTAGATTCTTTTAGCCTATTAGCTCTTAGCTAGTGTTTAGATTCTATTAGCTCATAGCTAGTGTTCAGATTCTTTTAGCTCATAGCTAGTGCTTAGATTCTTTTAGCTCATAGCTAGTGTTTAGATTC